ATTCAATCGATTATTGTTTCTCGCGAGTACCGATGCGCGTACAAGCACGGTCGAGTGGTCTATTTCGATGTCAAAAGAGAGAATGTCGAGCGGCTGGCTGGAAAGAGCTAAAAGCATCGTTGACTTGCAGCCAGCTTGAGAATATTTTCACATCGGCGGAAGAATGGGAACGTAAACGAGCGCGTCTCTTCCAGGATCGATTATTAAAACGTACTCGGGTGATATTTTCGTAAATACGAAAAATAAAATTTGTGAAACCTCTTCCCCCTCTTCCTGTTTATTTATAACTCTGATAATATACTTTTACAAGTCGTAAGAAAGTAGACGACGTTTCGTTCGATTTTGTTCGACAAGAAAAATCTTACAAGCTTCTACATCGCGTCTAATATTCCGGATGTGTGGTCGGTTGAACCGCGAATGAAATTAATACGCAAAAAAGATGGAAAATTATGCGTTATCGTACGCTTTCACCGTTCGAACCGTGAGATTCGTTAGATGCCCTATCGAGAGCGGTAGGCTTTATAATCATATAAATTTCCAATTTCGAATCTGTTCTACCGAGAAACTTTTCCACTGTTGTGAACGAACTGATCGGTTAGACGAATGATATTGTATTATTCTTGCCTTGTATAGTCTTTAGCAGTACTTAGTCGACCTCGATTTCCATCCATCTATACCAGTACTTGAACTTCCTACATCTATCCGATCGCACACACCGCAATAGAAATTGATTGTATTACGAAGCTATAGCAATGAATATCAAATCGTTCTCGTTCTTTGATTAATGGTCGTCTTATTTTCATGCAATATTTACACACGCTGCGAATAGCAGCGTGGATGATGTATTAAACAATATTGTATACACAAACCAATAACGCATGAATCACATAACTGTTTCTTTTATGCTCGAATCACAATGTGATTAATTCTTTTATTCCCTAGCTAGACGCTGAGCATTCAAGTTTCGAGTATTTTTATTGTCTTATATCCTTGAAATGCACAACGATAATAAGACGATATATCTCTGTGAACAATTAATTTCATATTAGCGATAAAAGATTTGCTTGAAAAAATCCAAAGTTCAAATAATGGAGATTTAAATCGTATGGATCGTTATTTGCGCCAGATTAAAATGTGGAGTCGAAACGCGTGATATTTATGTTCATCGCGATCGTGAGATCAAAGATGAAAACTTTGCTGATGAATCGACGGACCGGTTAAATGATCGTATTAAAAGCCACTATTTCGAGTTCATGATGCGCGAGATGAGGGCGGTGAGGTGCGAGGGAGAGATTACTTCGGTGAGAGTAGTTTCCTCGCGCGCGCCATAGTCCTAAATACTGATTTCGGGTTGCTCGGCAAGCTCGGATGCAACCTGCAAATTTACGATCATTAAACTCGAGAAATTACCTCCTTATCTCTCGACGCATCTCGATTAATAGCAATTACTTGTTTGCTGTAAATTTAATCCACGCCGCGGATACAATTAATCCCACCTAACACATTGTTGTGTCAGTATTTATATCGGTCCCTGAACCTCGCGACATCCTCGACGTATCAACGAGACATATCGACGTTCCCGTTCAAATTAAAGTAAGAATTTCAATGAGAAGGGAATTAAAATGAGAGGGAATAATTTGAGGAAATTTAAATGCGAATGTATCTAGATCCAAAAGGGCAATTTAGGTTTAATTAAAAAGGAAAAAGGTGCATTTTATGGATAGCTTTTACAGTTAATTTGAAGGAAATAATATAGGATCTATATTTGATATATATTATAATTAATATATATATAATTTCTCCTTATAAATCTAAATAAGAAGAAATGTAATGAAAACACCGAGGATCTATATCTATATTTGATATATATTATAATTATATAGGATCTATATTTGATATATATTATAATTAACATAAAAAAAATTTCTCCTTAAAATGTAAATAAGAAGAAATGTAATAAAAGCACCAAGAAAGTCCTCAAAGAGAATTTTATCCTGTGGCATTCTTCCTCTTCGTGCTTCTTCGCAGTAATGGATGCGCCACGTCGCGCTGGTGTACATTCACTCCACTCGTTACCGTTCCACGGTGTTTGTATTAGCCTCTCGAGCGCGGGTTACCCGAGCATAAGTGCAATTCAGACACGGCTGTGTGTATCCTGTTGGTCGCGCCGCTGCGAATCGAGCGTGCTCCCCTCGTCAGGTTGAAGACACACTCCGGTCTAAAGCGAAAGTCGAACGCGATCTCTTTCGTTCCCTCCTCACCTTCGTCTGACCTCCCTCGTTCCTTCTTCTCTTGCACACCGGTCTGCCTATATATGCTTCATCTTTGTTTCTCCGTTTTCCGGAATATCCACGATATCGTTTGTCTCTCTCTCTCTCTCTCTCTCTCTCTCTCTCTCTCTCTCTTTTTTCTCTTTCTCTTTCTCTCTTGTGCAATGACAAACCGTCTCCGCCTGGTACGAGCTAATCGGTACTCGTTATATAAAGTGACAACCGCGCGACACCATGTCAAGAACTTTGTACTCGCAAAACGGAAGGGAGCGAGTCGAAAATGATCAATTTCGATATAAGAGGTGTAAGTCGGATAATCTTTACGATTAAAAAAAATTTTGAAGTAAATTGTTACAAACAATTGTTATTATTCAATTGTTATTGTTCATTATTAAAATAACGAGGAAATAATGTATTTGAAAGAAAACGATTATCCTCGTTTATTGAAATGACAAGGATAATGTGTGCTGTAAAAGTTTACATTATAATAAAAAGATTGAGAAAATACCACATACATAAACATATTTTTTGAGGTAAAACTTGCTTGATAAACATAAAAAATGTTTATATAATTTTAGATGGCAATTTTTAATTCCGAATTTGAATTTATATTGAGATATATGTATGTATAAATCTATTTAATTATCTATCCTGAAAATAAGCACCTTTCTTCGATTCTGAATTTTCTCAGGTTTCTACGAGAAATAATCTTTTTGATTTTTTATATTCTTTTCGTTACGTTCAGATACACATGTGAACTTTGTCTCGTGCGAAATCGTCTCGCGAAATACATCTCGGAACGTGACATAAACCATTCGCACTTACTGTTCGTTAATGTTTTAACACGGATAACACGGGTTGGAATGGACTGTTTATGATACGACACGCAGAAAATGATGAATGTCATTTCTTCGAGTCGAAAATATATTCAGGCGAAATTTCATTAAATTTTATTGCACTGCTGATTTCGTAATAGTCGTAACCATCGTCGGGTAATGAAAAGTACCCGGGATTATATCATATCGTAATAAAATTTTTATTACACGCTCGATTCAATAATTATGAAAAATACTGTAAATAATAAAAATTATTGAAATAGAAAATAATGATAGCAAAAACAATTATCATGAAGAGATAAATAGAAATTACATCATAACGCGATCAAAACAATTCTTATAACTCATGATATAGATATAATAATTATAAAAATTATAATAAATAAAAGATTTCTAGCGATTAAATGATAAATTATTCGCATAAATAGGAATTTAATATACGATGAAAAGAAACTATTTTTATAACGTCAACATTTGAACGTATGCATTTTATTTCCGCTGTCACGGAAAGTCGATTAATATTATTCAGTTTTATATTACTTTCGCGTAAAACTTAGCCATCATTTAACTTTTATGTTACACATTATTATTACGTAAAATTATAAAATCGAAAAATGTTTTCAATGTATCCCGATATTTGTTAACAGGCGAAAATTCTGCGGTTTGCATAAACGAAGTCGTTATCGATATTTCATTTAATAACATCTCTATAACGCCTACGACGAGACACAATTATGGGAAAATGAATAACGCTTTGTTCAAGTGCTTCGGCGAAATCTCGATATTTATCTGGATCGAGTAAAGTGATAAAATAGCGAATTCCGGTCGCGCGAGACTATTTATAATTTCCGTTTGCCTGTCGCGGGAATTTCCATTTGTTGCATAATTGGAAAGGATTTATGTTATTTCTTCCACGTATACTTTGTATCTATAATAAGTATTTTTCTCGTTACGTAGCTTGAGTCGATCGATGACAATAGCCAAAATCATAACTAGCATCGAGACACGATCGCGAATCGAAGCGTAACAACGCCAGCTAACAATGAGTGAAAGTTCCTTGGCTGACCATCTTGGCGAGAAAGCAAATGGAAAACGTCATGCCGCGTGTTTTGCAAGTTAAAATATCGAATCGCGTTGAGAGACAGGAGTAAAATCTAGCGACGACTACGTAAGATATGTAATTCGACAGTTGTCGAGTAACATCAATATGAATCGAATCAAAATTGAAGAGAAAGAGAAATTTGTCAACAACTTTGTAAGTCGATTAATGAGAAATATATATTTTAAAATTATCTTTTTAATTTTTTTCTAGAAAAAAGTATTTTTGATGTAAATAAAAATTCGAATCGCTAATTGTGGATTCTATGATCTAATCCCGGTGGACGAATCTACAGACATTTACATCCTATTTTCAAGCCGAAGGTCGGTTCATTTGGCGCCAGATTTTATCCTCGCCGAATAAACGTTATCTTTCGGGATATCGTTTGTCAAAAAACATATTAAAAACACATGAAAATATTGTTACAATAATTCAAATAGAAAATTTAAAAAAATTTTGTCTCTAAAAATAAATTTAAAAATATCTATAAATATGCACACATCAAATAGAGATTAAAAAAGATAAAAAACATATTGAATAAATTATTAATCGTTACAAAAAAAAGAATAACAAATTAATTTAAAAAAAATCAATTAAATAGAATTAAATCGTTTGTTTAGCTACGCGCTTTCAAGCATGATTCGGGTCTTCCATAAAGTTATTCGGTGGTTAAACGGAAACACGTGTGTGTGGCATGTAATTGGCGTTGAAGATCTAGTCGCGATTCTATGAGAAGCGAAGTCGTAACGTCACGTCGTCACGTGTCTATCTATCTATCGGTCAGTGCGCGAGGTGGGGTAAAAGTCAGCCGCTCGACGACGGTGTTTCGACGCGAACATCCAGCTCGCCGTCGACTGGCACGCTCAGTCAAGCTGAAACCGCCAAGGATCGCGACAGAGCGAGCGCGTGCCTTATACGTCTCTTTCTCGCCGCGTTTCACCGTTTCTCGATGTCGCTCGCGGTCCAGGAGTATCCGCGGTAACCTGGTGCATCTGCGATCCCGTCGAATCGGTCGCCCGAAAAGGTGCGCGTACCAAGTGCGTTCCATCTCAAGGCTCTTTCCTCCTCGATGATAGTGATAGTCACGCGATAACGCGACAGTGCCAAGGACGCGGGATGATAATGCGCCGATTTTTCACGCGAATCGACGTGTGCGTGCGTGAAGTAGAATAACTCCGGGATGAATTTTCGGAGCGCGAATTTTTCGCGCCACGACGATGCTGTTGCTATCTTTATGGCTAATCAGGCGGAACTCACTTACGGGATATGATGTCAGTGAAATAAACGAAGGGGACGTGTGCCGCCTTATCGGTAGTCGCTGTATCGATAGACCTTAAAAAGCGCGCTGAATCATCGCGCTTAGCAAAATTGACGACGTCGTTTACGACTGCGGTCGGCCTTTATACCAAGTGTCGCGCAAAATTGTAGGCAGATACGAGCAGGTACATATATCGCGGCGAGGAAAAAATTGGGTACACCTTGCCACGCGATTTTTTCACGCCAATTCGCCTAAACGCGGTCTCTCGTGTGCGAAAAGAGGGTCACGGAATCGATGAGGTAAAGATCAGAATGATCGAAGCTATTTATTAAATGCATCCTTGCGTGCTCTCTCTCACATTATTACGTACAACGGAAAATCGCGACGGTGGGGCAGCCAGAGAGACCGCTGTCTCAGTCGGCTTTCACGACGATATTTACACTCGACTGCATTCTGAAAATCGCACGCTGTCAGTGCGCGACGATGAAAAAGAGGAAAGAGTTTCGTGTAAAACGATTCGATTAAGAACACTAGATAAGGATACTATAAGGCCGTGAGAACGGCATAAATGAGAAATAAAGGATACTTTGCTAGCTTAATTTCAAGCATTCTGGTCATTTGAATGAGGTATAATAGAGTGAGTCACGAATAAAAATATTAAAATTATGAGAATAGAATAAACGGAGAAAGAATAGGAAATATTTAGAAAGTTAATCTTTAAACCTGATATTTTCAACATGTGTGCATTAGAAATCTTACAATCTCTGGCGAAGATTCTAATATCGAGAATTAATAATGATCTAAGAATAGTATAATACTAAGGAAAACATAGAGGAAGAATTTTCTTAAGGAAATTTAATTTAAAGTATTTATTTATCAGAAATGAATTAAATATTTTTATCTTAAATTAAAACAGCAAGAGTATTAAATCGCGCGTGCGGAAAAAATTGCATTAATTATCAGAGAGATCCAAGTGATCAGTTGAATGATAATAAACCATAAATAAAAATCTGCGGAACGCAATTGAGCAGCTAATAGAGAAAGTGCTTTCTCGATTGAATCGATAAACAAAATCCGTAGAGTGAAAACAATCTAGAAAAAAACTTGCTCACTATATCGATATACATGAATATTTATCATTATCATGACCTCTTATATTTCTCGATGAGGAGAGATAAAGAAGTGTCATCGTCGATTTAAATAAATCTTTTAGGGGAACCCCCTCTCCATTTCCGGTTTATATTCTTGCAAAATGCGAAGATTCTCGTGTCGATTTTCGTCGGCGAGCTTTTAAAAATATTGAAAATCCGCTGGCGACGGGCGAAATGAAAGCGGCGCGGACAAAGTCGTGTCGACAAAGTGGAATCTCCATCGCGGCGGTCACGTGTATATTATACGGTCCGTCAATATATAATAACTGCTACGATAATGATACGTATTAAATTCACGCCGTCTGCGTCACGAAGCGGCGCCTGTCGCCGACATCGCGCGCTCGAAAGCAATTTGGGCGACATGTACCCATGTCTGCGTTTGCCTTCCCGAATGCGTAACGCACTTGTACGGAATCTTCCGCTACGATTTCCCACCTAAATCAATCGCGAGAGAGTAATGCATACATGCACATTAGACTTTGCATTGGAAAAATAATATTTTCGCATTACTAGATGAATCATGTAATGATTATACTGAATAATATTGCATAAGGAGAGATATAATATTAAAATCAAAGAAATAATTTATACATGATAATATTCGCTTCGATTATTATCTCTTTGAGAATTTCAATTTAATGTTAATTTGTAGCATAAGTGAGATATGGACGAATTTTTATATGTGAATATTGTTATGCAAAAATAAAAAAAAATATATAATTAAAATAAAAATAAAAGAAAAAATATATATCTAAAAAATTTTGCGTATGCATAGAAAAACAGTCAATAGAATTCGAGTAGTTCAAACTTTACTCGAGATTACTACTGAGTAGATTTGCTTATTTTTGAACACCGTCTATGTATGACTTACGTGAAAACGCAGTATTTTTTTGTCTCTCAAGAGACCGCCCAGTTTTCTTTATTCTATTAATAGTCATTGGAAAGAACCACACGATGACTTGCGACGACGAACGCAGCTGTTTCATCGGATATATAAGAAAGAAGAATTACGTAAAATTATAAATTGACAATGTTTTCGTTGCTTTGCAAAATATAATATATCTCCATCATTTTTTTTATATATTTTTCTCTCAAGCCCTATTGGGATGTGTCTGTTCAATCGACCGAGGTGTCCCTTCGATTAAATGGAGAATTATGCATCCGTGACGCGGGCTGACCTTCCTTCGCTCCGACGTGACCGGAGTCGTATCCAGTGTAGCGGGTTGACCCGTAATACCGAGATACGACACACGCTCGAAATGATATCGGTTTAAAGCTCCGAACACGTTCGGCGTCGTATCACCTAGCGAGAAACTTGGTACGCGAATGGCGATAACTGTGTTAACAGCAGCTTGTGCACACGCATCGAGCACGTGGAGCACGGCCACGCAGGACGAATAGCATTATCGGTACCGTTAATATCATTCGCGGATATCCAGTTGCCCAAGAGGAGAGTACCGCACACGTTTGTCGGCGTGTGTGGGAGTGCGCCCTCCTCCTCGCCCCGCGCCTTTTTCGCGTGAGAGACTCGGATACAATGATATCGGGATAATCGAACCCGGCGCGCTTTCGAATGACTTCGCCGACTGTGCTTGAAAAATGCAAGAAACACCTCTCGCGATCAGGAAACGTGAGTTACGGAATCTCCTCTCTACTTTCGACCATAAGTCGCGCTTTTTACGCACTTGGTTTTTTTCTCTCAAATATAAATATGCGTGTTTTGTCATTTTACACGTAGAAAGTGTAGCCAGATAAAATTGACAGTTTGCGCACTGGATGAATAAAATTAAAAAAATGACAATAAAATATTTTACTACAAGTGCATAAAAAAATAATGAAATATACCGAGGAAAAGATCTCAAAATTAACGAATGTTGTATCTGTATTTATTTATTAATTTTGTATCTTTAGCAGGGCGTTTTTGCGACGTTATACCGTTCCAATGATTCTCGGCGAAAATTGCGCAAAGATACTTTTATATCTGTAGCAACTCGGGAAAGTACCATTTTCAGCGCTCTTCTCTTGGGCGAGGAAAAGTTTTCTCTAGGAAATGGATAGCCCGTTCACTATCTATTTTATTATTCACTCGAACGTCTTGATGCGTTTTCCCGAAAGTATCCGATCCGCACGGATTTCGAGGATAAATTTATCTCTCCTCCCGATGATGTGTACGTCGAATAAAATGCGCGCGACCATGTATTTCCTACGCTGCATTTTACGGACCGTTATCCGGAGCCGGACATTTTCGCTCGCGTTTAGTCAACCGAGAACTCGCGCGCGTGCAGGAAAATAAAATAAAATATTTGCCGACTGCATATTCGTGGAAAGGCATCGCTGGAGCTTTCTCGACAAGGGTGTTTGAAAATTTCGAGAGAGAAATATCTCGCTCGTTGATTGACACGTGGAATGAGATTTATTCAATCTCGGAGGGGAATAAAAATACTTGATACTTATAGCGGGATATAAAAATAGTTTGCATAGCAACGCTATCGAATGAAAGATTTAATATAGACTACAAAATTTTGCAATTGATTTTTGCACGCTTGACGTTTTAAATTTCATTGTTGATTTAAAATTCATTTCACGTTCTTTTTTGGAAAGAATTTATTTTTATTTCTCCTTATTCTCTTAGGAGAATCTCTTATTTCATTATTTAAATATGAATAAATAATAAGACAGCGTATATATACTTTTTTTGCTACGTCATAAAATTTGAAATTTAGATAACACATTTGAATAAAATAATCTTAGAAAATGCTAAACGCGAAGAATATTCATATACAACCGGATAAAACTCTTTTGTTCGCCTATATTGTGCAAATTTCATCGATTGAAAATCCACATTCATAGCTTTCAGATACAGTATCGGTTCTCCCGCTATATTTATTACATACCCACATCGGTCTCCGGGATTCCGTGTTATTAGGGAACGAGAAAAGTAGATAATACAGGAATGGAAAAACAAGAATAATATCGTGGTTTTCGTGGCTCGCGTGCGCACAACTTATTACTCGATAGTATGCCGACGTGAACTTATTATTAGAGTGTGACGTTTCGCCGAAGTAAACCTATGAACGCCGTTATTACGCATAGACTACGTCCGTTACAAGCTTGTTGAAATTGAGAAAATGGCCCGGTTCGTGAAACCGAACCTGGTGACCCGTTCGAGTGCTACTTTTGGATCCTTGAAAAAAAATCGCGAATTCTTTTCAGTCTCATCTCGCGGAGTCGCTTTCGCGCAGATATATATGTACCTCTTTCTGCTCAACTCGCTCGCGGATGCTTCCAGCAGAAATCACTCTTAACCTTTGCCACTAGGATTCACCTAGACCAGTCTCTCACAGTTGCCCGCATCTAGCCGGCAGAAGGTGTACGCTCGACCGAAGCTTTCTCCCGATCGTTAACTTTTACTTTTGCCACGGGCGAATCGAGCATCTCGAGGTGTTTGTTCCTTGTGTACATCATCTGTTTTGCCGCGACAGGAAAAGAAGACATGCAAGGTTAGATCGAATTCGAAAAGCGAAAATAGTGCTCGATTAATTTTTTCGCGCCTCTTTTTATTCGTGCGTAAAGAAAACTCATCGGCAAATCGCGAAAATTAAAGTGTTTAAAAAAAAGATCGTGGAAAAGAAATAGAATAGTTGGCAACATTAGCGTTTTTATCGAATTGCTTCTGTCCATGTGTTTTCAAGAATATTGACGACTGAAGTGAAAATATATCTTTACAATGCGTCTTATATAATTTTGATACAATCATTCTTGCAAAAAATGTTTGACATATTATTAAATAATTTTCGGAAATAAATGAGATATTTTTTCAAATAATGTTTCAAAATATATTTGTGAAAAATTGGCATGTGTCCTTTCTCGATTGATTGAGAGAGTAATATTTGAAAAAAATAATTAAACGAGACTACTTGATATAATTGAAAACAGAGATTGTCGAATATAATATATAGATAAATAGATCTCGAATTTTTTTTCAACACAATTTTAAATGGATTTTTGGATAAACAATTTTTAAAAAGAGAGACAACCGTGGATATTTTTATTTCTCATGTTACGTGAGTGTATTTCGCGCGCGTATTTTTCAACAGGCTCAGAGATAGAAAGAGAAAGAGAGAAACAACAACCCGCACAAGTTCGCCCAGATGGTGTGAAAATTAAAAAACTGGAACGCACTCGTTGAAACTGTCGTCATGTATTGCATCGCAAAATCCACATCGTGCGACATTACCATAAATTGTGAAAGTACAAGCAGACGTATCTGTGTACGCGCTATTATTTTTTTATTTACAGTTCAGCGATGCGATTTAAAGAGGGGAACGAATCCATCTATATCAAACACATAAATGTATCAGCGTCTCTTCCTATAAAAATTGCGCGAGAAATGCGGACATACGAGTATGTCGCATCCCTCATTTCTTCTCGTCACGGCACATTTTTCTTTTACTCTTCTTTTATCTTTCTTTTTATTATCTGAATTATTTTGTCTCGAGCACTTTTTAACTAGACGGCACAAAGGTTCACATCTGCGAAACAATTTTTCTCAATTTTTCCTTTGATGTGTTCTTTAAATATATCTTTTAGTATCAAAGCGCTTTTGTACCTCGCTCAGGCTTTTATGTAAATCTATCGAAATTTCTTTCCCACGGGACTTAGACGCGAAGAATTAAACTTGTGGGACAACCGATATAAGCATAATAATCGCGATTAGAAATGCATATTGTGCGCCTTAAGTCAATCGGGTCCCTTTTTCGCCGCGCATTAAAGTGAATCTCCCCTGGCGGGTGCAACGACCTCATCCCGCGCCATAAGAGTTTTAACGTAGATTCGGAAACGTGTTATACCTATCTGGACTAATGCACCACGCCATAGTTAGCGTGAATTGACCTGTATTTCCGAGCGTTAGCAGAATCGAGACGAGCGTAACAATGTGTATGCGCTGCCGGTGGGAGGCCGCCGCCCCACCTTTCATTCGACTTTGACAGTTCCATTATGGTATCGAAGCTAACGGCAAAGCAGAACGGGCGTAGTTGATGATCGTGAATCAACGCGTGCGCCGTCCCATCAGAGGTATTTTTATTGTTCTTTTTTTTCCTCTTTGCGCAATCGGGAAACGTGCTCCATGTATATATATAAAAGCCATTGTTCGTCGTAACTTAGCGTGTCTCTGCCGTGAAATTAAATCGCGATAAACGCGAAAAGTGTGCGGTCATCGTGTCATCGATCTTTCTCATGAAACGCCGATTATTGTTAATTCGATAAGCGCGAGCTTTCAACGAGCTTCACTTTAACTCTGCTTTCTCGAATTAATATTTGATAAGAGTATTTAAAAAGTCTCGCGTGTTTTCTTTTCCTGCTTCTCCTTAAATCAATTAAATCAATTTCGTTTATTTTTTTTGACGACTTTAGGATGAAATGAAAAATTTTTATCACGAAGAAAAAGCAAAAAGTGGAATCGTGCTAATTGAGCGGAACTGCATTGCGAAGAATATTTCTATATGTGTCACATCATTAAGGTTGTATTGGCTGTGCAGTCTGGTAAAAGTCACTTAAAATTTATGTACATATAATTAGATTTTTTTTATTATATATATATATATATTTATTTATTTACTTCATCATTTCTTATTTTCATAGTACTCTTGATGAAAGATATAATTTTTAAAAAATTCGATACGAATATGCCTTGTATATAACTTGAAAAAAATACATAAATATATCATTAATATATCCTAAATATTAAATAAATAATATTGATATATACTGATAATAACATAAATATTAAAAATTATATTTTGATAGCAAAGATATATATGCACAATTTCACATTCTAATCAAACTTCAGTTATTTATAAAAAAAAATAATATATGAAGTGAGATTTATTATTGTTTTTTCTTTGCTATACGTAACACATTGTCACGCTTCCTTTTCATAAAACCATATAAACTTCTTATTGAACTGAGTTTTAATTCATGTTGTGAATCATCAAATTTTTGCTTTATTTTTTCATATAGAACAATCTGCAACTTTGCCATAATTTTTTTATTACCTTCGAAATATGACACATGCAACCTTAAGGATGTTTCGCGAACGCGGTCTCATTCGCGCACGAAGGATTTCTGTGTGCTCATTATTATTCGCCGTCTTTGACTTTTTCGTACGTGCGTCCCCGATACGAAGCACCGAGAGACAAACCAAACGGTATTCGTTGCCGACGAATAAACTAATTGCGCACGTTAATTTCGGAAGTTTTATTTCATTCGATTTTGCAAGTTTTGTTCCTCACCGAATTTCACAAATACCAAACAATACAGTAATTATGATAATCGATGGCTCGCGATTGTTCATCATTTCTGTTGCCATAACAATACCAAGCGCGTAAGAAACGATATATTATGCATCCCATATTTCGAATATCTTCATATCTTTTCTCTAAATGTTAGGTTTGTAATATTATAAAAAAATATAAAAATAGATATATAGATAAAAAACTTTAATGAACAAAACTTCAATTAACAAACGTTGTAATGTCTTCTAAAGAATTATTATGCATATCTGTATATCTAATGCATTTAGGCGCCGCATAAAAGCATAAATATAATGATACTTTCATTGAAGAGAAATCATTAATAACAATAAGTATATCTCGTATAGATATCGCACTGTGATACACATGTGGTTACGCATATTAATTAAATATCGTTAGAAAGTTTTAACGATTGCCCATGAATCAACCGGAAAAGACGGACGAGTGAAAATACGACACTATTGATCGCAGCGGAGAGTAGCTCAGTAATAGTTAACCCAATTACTTAACGTCCAACTTTGAAGCTAAATTCAGGTGAAATTTAAGCTTCGTCTCTAAGCTTGGAAATCAAATTTAAATTTCGAGAATTATTACATTAATAAAGATCGATTTATAAAAGTGATATATATTTGCCAAAATGTGAAATGTGATGTATTATCTTGAACTTTTATATAGATGATTATATAATTCAATAAAAATGTATTAATAAATATTTTATATATTAAGAAATTATATTGCATTCATTTATAACGATCGTCTGCTAATCAAATTTGTAAATTTCTGATCGCGGAAATTTACGTTCGACGATAAATGATGGGCGAAAAGAATTTATTGCGCATTTAAATAGAAAATTTTCCTCAATTTGCGCGGCACAAATTGACGAAAATATACCGTGTCGTCACCTGCTTTAATCGATTTTTAGATCCGTTGGATATCGAACGTATCCTCTCTAACGTGATTTCTTCGGTACTCGCCAATTAACCAAAGAATGCTGCGGTAACCTATTTGCGAATCGAGTTAAACGCGTGGAGAACGCGACGATGAGTTCGCCAGCGAAGCAAGGCGCGACTCATACCCCGGAACGGTGAGAATTCCCGTGATGAACAGTGATGATCGCGTACACGATGATCGAGCCACGCAGCGACAGGGTGACGGTCTGCTCGCCCCAGACCCAGCACCACTGTTACCAAGTGATACGAACCACCAGAGTGCACCAAAGTTCGCGAAGCTCGAGGATGGTGACCGTCCAGGAGAGGGTCGTCAGATCGCGTCTTCAGTTGGGTTACTCCACGCCGACGTCGTTCATCAATCGGTATATATTTCTCATTTCTATCTAATCTAATGCCACAACGTGTCCGAATCTTTCAATGATAGGTGATCGCATCAATTCACATGGCGTATGACATCGAATTAGAGAATTAAATATTTATTTCGTATTATTTTTCGTCGGTTTTTTTTTCTGTTTGTACTATAAATGTTATGACATGTAAATACGTATAATTTATCTTTACTTAATTATAATTTGTAATATGCATAATTCTCGTTATTTTTAAAATATGGATACACGAGATACTTTAAAAAATTTAATTATAATTTATTTTACATGTATTACTGACCGCTCTTGTGTTTTTTTTTTAAATATTCCATCATATTTGCAGATTTTTGTTTATATAAATTATATAAATTATATCTTACACATGTGTGGGTATAAAGTTATCAAATAAATTCTACTGAAGAAAAGGAAACTACATCAACGGTACTAGCGTCCTATCGGCGCTATCTCGATGAGTTTCGCACGAATGTAATTATCATAGTGAGGAAACGTAATCTCTCTAAAGCGGCATCATCATCTCGCGCCTCTTCCTCTCCAACACTACCAACTGGGAGACACACATACACGCACATACACCCACGTCCCCACGAACGTCGGTAGAGAGCAAAATTATTTCAAGTAGAGGAATCGCTCGATGCTCGCGCAGGCGTACACCCACGTTGGTAATGGCAATCAACGGTTGTTAATTGCTCGATGATAATTAGTCCGCGGCATCGCGCGAGATTCTCCTCCGACTCTCGGTAGTGGCTCTGTGCCACGATGGAGAACACGCTTTAATCATTTCCGTAATGAATTCGTACAAAACATGTATGCGTACATACACGATTTACGGTACACGTTAGCACACTTACCGCGGCTTCTTCTTCTTCTCGATATCGAGAAATGTTGTGTGCCCCCCGCTCGAAAGCCGCGCGTTCAGCCGTATCAGACGTACAACTTTTAATGGCGTACCGTTAAACTTTATTTACAGCCCCAGAACGGAAATTCTAGAGCGGCGAAATGCTTCTTCCGTTCGCGAATATATTATTTTTTGTATCTTATACACTTCTCTTCTATTTTTGATCTTTACATCCTTTTCTTTCGCCTACGATGTAGAAATTATCGCTGTGAAATGCAAAATCCTCTATAGGAATTAAGAAAATTTCTCTTGAGAGTACGCATACCTTCTATTGTCAAATTGCAATCGCACGAGATGGAAAAGGCATCGAGGGGATTTTTGCGTGAGCCGCGGGAATTCATTAGTTGTTCATTAGCTCCGATATATCGTAAGACGTTACGCGCGAATGAGCAATGTTAGACGTAATAGGCACTTGCACAAATCTCTGAATGCATCTGCGACGAGGCGTCGCAAAAGTAGAGCACAGAGACGTCTTTAAGAGACGTAACTTTCCGAGAGCCTTCGTAGAAACGAGCTGTCAGTCGATTTCCACATCGTAATTGATCGCGAGAGTCTGCTCTTATCGAACCGTCATCACTTTATATGTGGCTCAGCTTCATTCATTGATTAATATATTTTTATTTCTCTCCTATACATATGAGAAAAATAAAGAAATTGTATTTTGCGAATTATATGTGCATATTACAGCACAATGTAAATGGCGCAATTAATATGTAACGCAACATATGATATGTCAGAGAGACGCGTCATTCGCTTGGGGAATCCGCAATATGCAAATGACTTACATTGTGTGCATTTAGGCCAATGATAATGAATGTAAGTTATCGCAGCACGGTAATTCAATCTTCTCTTCCGAGGACAAAGGACATTTGCATGTACTTTGAAGATATATCGAGTTACATACAGTTAAGAAGCTAACAAGACGCTACGCGTCTATCGCTTTCAACAGAGAAACTTGACTAATTGTAAGAGCGATGTATCGTTATCGTCACACCAGATGCAACGATAACGCTTAATGCTTCAATAACATGTATGTGCCGCGATGCATAGATACCTTGACGTCGACTCACACATTTAAAAGAGACGCGTGCGGAAATTTAACAAATAACATATGCATGTAAAATATGCGTGTGAAAATGAATAATGTTATTTCACTACATTGATGACAATCGAGCGAATATCGCATTGGAATATATATTTTCAGAGAAAACAGTGGCATTTTTACCTTCATTTAATTTGATATTTATGTCCATATAATGCGTTATTTTTAATCCCATCATATTTAAAAAAAAAACGCCGTTCTATATCTATTCAAAGTCTACCTTATTAAGGTCTACCCTATAAGAATATTTTACCGAGCATCTCTTCTTTCTCTTTCTTTAACAATCATTAAATTTCCAGTCGCATCAATTGCATCAAATGCAATTCAATGGACATTTGTAATATTAAGTTAATCGAAAATTTATTTGCTTCCTTCTTTTATCTTTCATTTATCAATGTCAAAATAATATAGGAAACATGTATATGGAAAAAGAAGCAATTTTTCGATCAATCTCTGATATTTTTTCTCAAGATGGGCGGAACTTAAATGATGAATACGCGGAACAGACTGTGTCGAAGCATATCTCTCGAAAAGGGGTTCGGGAAGAAGCCGTACATTTGGCAGCCTAAGGTATCCCCAAAGAAAAAAAATATCAAGCCAGGTGCGTGTCGGGGCACCACCGGCACGGCAAGCAGGCAGGCAGCGCGTAGGGTCCCGTGCGATAGTCGGGGAGAGGGAGGAAGAGGGGCCTGATAGCACGCGCTCATCGTGGCACGCGAGTGCGATGCAGCAGCAGATGTTTCGTTCTTTTGGGCTTTAATGCCACATCGCGTTTATTTATCCTTATACCCAGGATCGACTTCGTTTCTGCTCCGAAACGTCTGCGTTCTGCAGACCATGATGTTCTCATCTGTCGAAGAGAAATATTTTTATTTTGTTTTATTTCGTAAAAATGCGATTGATAAACATCGATGTTTATGTCCAAAGTATCCGATATTTTTAATCTCGATTTTTTATTTTTAAATTTAAATTCGAGTTTTAACGCTATATTCTTTGTACTTATCTTTTTCTAGAAAGACCAAGTATTTATCCTTTTAAATCGAAATTTCCCAGTTAATTTTGTAAAAGTATGATCAACCCAAAATAATTTAAAATTATTCGCAGCATACGCTGTAGAATATATTCCTCTTCCGAAGAACTACCTTTTCTTCTAATTTTTTTTTATATGATAATTTTCTATTTTAGTAAATGTTACAGAAATCTGCCAATATTTTTACTAAAATTTTCAAACTTCAAGTTATTATATAAAAATACAATTAGGAGAAAATGAAGGATATTCGATAAAAATGTGAATGATATAATTTTCATTATTATTATGGATTATCCATAATAATAATGAAAATTATATCATTCACATTTTTATCGAATATCCATATTATTATGGATAATCCATAATAATAATAAAAATTATATCATTCACATTTTTATCGAATATCCTTCATTACTAAATTTTAAAATTTAATTCTAATTTGGAAGCTGCTTTTACATTAGTCTCATTTGACTATATCTGTTATTCGAAGACTTCGCGTTTGTATGGTTCATCCACATTATCGTATAACGTTTAATGATACACGCACTGATTGCGACAGAAAAATATGGCCTCGCTCACGAGAGCGATGCATTTTTAGCGGAACGATCGATTTCTCGACCGTCTATTTCAACCCAGAGAAAAAGTATCGTTCAATAATACACTCCTTACAGATTATACAAATTTTTATCATTATTTCTCTATGACATTTTTTTCCGATTCGAACGCAAATATATCCTACATCGTAAATCTGAAAATCGCGATTCTTCCTGGAACCCTCGGCCGCAAATTCCCAACTTCAGTCTCACCCGATGTGTATATTTGTCATACAACGCGTTGCGCGTTTACTCGCTTACGTTATGTACGGATTCTTACATAAGTCATTTAATTGACGCGTATTGCGTAAGACCAAGTCTCTTTGCGTAGAAAAGGTTGAGTGTCACGGTCGAACACGGTCGTCGTGCACCTGCCAGATGCACAACGACGGATGTATCGGATATAATGCACGCATCTTTGTCGGGGAGAAGGGAAGGGAGGGGGAGGACTCGTGCCCCTCGTCTCCAAGTTCCTTTTCTTCTCCAGGATGATCATTTCTTGCCCGGCCGAAAAGTACCCCGAAGAGCGCCAGCTGCTCGCGTTCTCCGCCAGTTCGTCTTCGACGTTCGTGGTGATCGACACGCGAGACTCGCGCGTGCCTCGCGACCGAGAGATCCGCGGATAGAGAGGAGCGGTTCCGTGTCGTAAATTGTGTAATTGCGCATGAGAGAGTGAGCCGTACCGTCAATACACATCGAGGACGAGAATCGTGCACGCAACCGGCAACTCGATACACGTGGAAAATCTCCCGAGTCCCTTCAGGAAACATGATTGTTTGCGTTTCCCACTTCAGGGGGTGCGTTCTTTTTATCTTTACGACCCACATATTTCATACGCCGTTGTAGCAACCGCGCTGCGTCTAATAATTAGAAACACCTGGCAAGAAATGTTTACGCGATATCGTTATCTAATTTTAATTATCTTTTTTACAGCTTTTATGGCCATGCGTTCTTTTAAGAGTACAAGTTCTAAGAAGTCATTTAACTTATGGTATATTGGAAAAAATTCTACATGCGAAAATTTAAGCTACAAATTCCAAAATTTTTTAAAAGTCTCGAGAAGAATAAAAATTTAACGATTGACCCGATTTTTTAATCATCAAAGTAACAATCTCTTCGATGATTTTATTATGCAAAGCTTGCTGATAAAATTTAAGAAATATGACGATACTTGTACTAGAGACAAAAGAGTTAATCATGCATCATCGCTCTTTGTTTGCGCAGCTTCCCGACGAAGGTGGAGAGGCCCCTGGTGTCGCACGGCAATTCGAGTCAGATCCACGGCAACAGCATGCACGGCGCCTACTCGTCCGGTAGTCAGACGTCCCTGTCGACGACGTCGTACATCACCGGCCAGTCCTACATGCAGAGCCAGAATTACGGAGCACCCCCGTATCCCTCCGCGAGCGTGCAGATATATCCGTCTCACGGCGCGTCGGGCTACTCGCAGCCGCAGAGCTACGGTACCGTGGTGCAGGGCTTTGGCGGGCAACCGCAGTCCGCCGCGTATCAGCAGACTCACCTAAAAAAGGGATCGGTCCGCAACGGCGACGTGCTCAAGCGATGTCGACTGCAGACCGCGTAAGTCGTAATTTGACACCCTTTTTAATCATCAAAGTAGCAATCTCTTCGACGATTTTATTATGAACACACAACAGCAGGTCGGAAGATGATTCAAACGATTATGAAAGAGAAATTCAAAGCTTGCTGATACGAAAATTTAAGAAATATGACGATATTTGTACTAGAGACGAAAGAGTTAATCATGCATCATCGTTCTTTGCGAACGAAGAATGAGAATCACCGGCTCTCGGAGAGATTGCGTTTCCCGGCAGACGGGTAATTAAGAATGGATCTTGGAATTTGCAGATACGAGTTGTCGCAGGATCTACTCGACAAGCAGATCGAGATGCTGGAGCGGAAATACGGCGGCGTAAAGGCGAGGAACGCCGCGCTGACGATCCAGCGTGCGTTCCGAAGGTACACGTTGCTGAAGAAGTTCGCGGCGATCACGGCGATGGCCAAGGCGGAAAAGCGACTGAGCAGGAAGCTTCAAGAGGTGACGACGGATCGTTCGGGCAACCTCAACGATCACGAGAGAATGGTTTACCACAGTCAGATATACATTCAGCAAGCGCAATCCGCCAACAGGTATGTACATATACATAAGCTGTTTCTCTATTCGTACTCTCTCCTCTGTGTCAAGTTCATCATGACTAAACTGACCGCGAATCCGACAGACCGATGCCGATCCGCAGCATGTCTCTGAGGGAGAGGCGGCACATAGACAATTCTCAGTCGCCGATACCGAGGAGTCAGAGCGGTAGATGCGAGGTTCAAGTCAGTGGTCATCAGCACACAAACCATAACTTGCATCAGAGCGGTAGACACACACCCTCGTTGGCGCCCAGCCCGTGTAACCGACATCAGCAATTACCGCCGAGTCCCTGTTGGGAGTCGAGCTCCCAAGAGAGCGGTTCCAGTATCCATTACTACAATCCACAGGTGAGTATAAGCCGCAAAGGAATGTCTCGCGATAAATCATTTCAAGCTGACGCGATAATTTGTCGCAGTGATATGTTTCTTTTATCGCGCGTGTGCGCTTAAATAAAAAGTCATTTCTTTATTTATGCAGGAGGCCTTGTGCGGTCTGAGACAAGAGACGCCGCCGAGAGATTTGCTGCGGACACCGTGCACGTCACCGTCGGCGCCACACAATATGACGACGATATCGCAGAATTGGAACAACGCCAATCAGCTTGGTCCTGGTAGAACAACAAGAGGAAGTTCTGGCAAGAAGATTCCGCCGGAGGTTCCGAAGAGAACGTCCTCCATCACTTCGAGATCTATGGAACCGCGTCACAACGGTCTCAGTAAAAGCGTAGAGAATGGAAGCCTAAGTTCGGTACAGAGCTCCGGCAGCGATTCCACCAATTGCGAGAGTTCGGAAGGTGACGCTCAGAGAGGCTCACCGGTCTGGAAGCATAAAGGGATTGTAAGTATATCTGATTTTCTTCTTTCTTGCACGCTTGATAAAAGCGCGCACGAATAACGGCGATTTCTTGAGGACGTAAGCGAAAAGTGTCGTTAACGGAACCCGTATTCTGATTGTGAAATCAGTCGAGTTCGCCGGAGCATCAGGAATGTGCGAGTCATACCGCGGACGCAACAGCGATGGCTACTAACGTTAAGGAGCTCGGCCATTCGCATGCCAGTTCTGGCTACCAGCTTCCTCTGATGGATCATACGGAAAATCTACCGACTCAAACGAGTTACAAGGTATCCGAGACGGTGAGAAAGCGACAGTATAGAGTCGGCCTGAATCTTTTCAACAAAAAGCCGGAGAGGGGAATCAGTTATCTCATCAGACGCGGCTTTTTGGAAAACAGTCCGCAGGGAGTCGCTAGATTTTTGATCAGTCGAAAAGGATTATCCAAACAGATGATAGGAGAGTATCTCGGGAACTTGCAGAATACTTTTAATATGGCGGTACTTGAGTAAGTGGCTGTAATATATTAATGTTTGATATATTGTAATTAATATATTTAGAAAACCTATATTAACAATAAAGAAAGTTATTTTATTATATTTGAAAAATATATATTTAAATATGTATTTTTAAAAATATAAAAAATTATATAAAAGTTATATTTTTTAAATATTTTTAATGAAAAAATATATTTTTAATGATACTTTTAAGATAATATTAAAGTATAATTTTACTTACAATTTGCAGATGTTTCTCCCAGGAATTGGATCTTTCTGGAATGCAGGTGGATGTAGCTTTACGAAAGTTTCAAGCTTATTTCAGAATGCCCGGCGAGGCACAAAAAATCGAACGATTGATGGAAGTCTTCAGTCAACGTTATTGTCAATGCAATCACGATGTAATATCGAGGTTGCGGTCAGCTGATACTGTTTTCGTCTTGGCCTTTGCCATTATCATGCTTAATACGGATTTGCATACGCCCAATTTGAAACCCGAACGTAGAATGAGACTCGAGGATTTCATAAAAAATCTTCGAGGAATCGATGATTGCGGCGATATAGATAAAGATATCTTGGTTGGCATTTATGAACGGGTGAAAGATAATGAATTCAAGCCGGGCTCCGACCATGTGTCACAAGTGATGAAGGTTCAAGCAACCATTGTTGGAAAGAAGCCAAACATGGCACTGCCGCATAGAAGATTGGTATGTTACTGCAGACTCTACGAGATACCGGACATTCATAAGAAGGAGAGACCCGGTGTCCATCAGAGAGAGGTTTTCCTCTTCAATGATCTGCTCGTCGTTACGAAAATTCTGAGCAAGAAAAAGAATAGCGTAACCTACACCTTTAGGCAAAGCTTTCCGCTTTGCGGCATGGTAGTTACTCTATTCGAGGTTCCTCGTAAGTTTCAACAATAAAGTATAATTATAGAGATACTTGTTGCACAATTCTTATCTTTTATCGTTGCTATATCGTTTATCTTGCAGATTATCCATATGGCATAAGACTCTCTCAGCGTGTCGACGGAAAAGTTCTAGTCACATTTAACGCTCGAAACGAGCACGACAGATGTAAATTCGTGGAAGACCTCAGGGAATCCATCAGTGAAATGGACGAGATGGAAACTTTGCGTATCGAAACCGAATTAGAGAGACAAAAGAGCAGTAGAAGCGCGCGAGGTGGCGCAGAAAATAGAGACTCCGGTGTTGCCGACGTGGAAATATGCCCTTGCCCGGGTGCTTGTTCCGACAGAGCAGAGACAGTCGATGTTGACACACAATTGAAACGTTCCGCCCTTAGTAATTCACTCCTGGACATACACGAGCAATGTGAGTAAAAGAGAATATCTTGTATCTTTGCAAATTATGTACATATATATATATATAATATGTATGTCATCTTTTACATACCTAGTTGCCGGTGAGAAGCCGCAGCGTCGTGGAAGCGTGGGTTCTCTAGATAGCGGTATGTCTATTTCATTTCAATCTACTTCCGCCAGTTCAATGAGCCAAGGCATTAAGCATGCCGGACAAGTTCATTCTATTCATCCAGGAGCTACGATTCCTGGTCCTGGTGGTAAAGGACTGGTTCAGCAACCGTCTTTTTTAGGAGGTCTTTTTACCAAACGCGAGCGAAAGCTATCGCAATCTGAAGAATCTGGTCCATACAGTCGCACTACGGAAGTATAATGTGTGTACATTCTTCCAATCATGTAAAATAAGAGATACATCTTTGTATACCCGTTTTTTTTTCTAGTACGCTTCGTGTTTTTAATAAAGGCTATGTTTATGATAACGCCAATTTTAAATAGCAATAATTACACTCGCAAATTTATTCATATTAATGTGAAATTGTTTTTTTCCTCGTTCGGAGTCTTATACTGTTTTTACTGTGGTTTAAAAACGGAAGCTAAGCTAACGGAAATAAATATGCACTTAAGCAAGCAGCAAGACTGCCACGCGCGCGAGAATTATTCTATTAGGGTATACAATAGAATATATAGTATGTCGTTATATATATATATATATATATATATATATATATATATATATATATAATCACGAAGCGTGCTAAAGAATGAAATAATCGATAACAGATAAAGCCAAATTCAAGGACATAAATTTAAAAGATTGGGCAGGATCCAATCAAAATCATGTGGCGTATAAAGGGAAAAAAATTTAATCTATCCTCTTCTCCTCCCGTATAACGCGTGTATAGTATTTATTCATTAAAGAAGGAAAATAATGGACATTTTTCATACTGTATTTATAATTCAGGCAATGAATGATAGAATTATGTGTAGATAATTATTACATTTTTGCTTAGTTTTACACACACATATATATATGTTAATAAGTATAACAAAAACTGAAGAGAAGAAAAAATTGTAAATCGTGCGAATTCTTGATACAATTATCGAGAGAATTTTAACAGCGTCATTATCAGCGAATATCATTACCATCACCGATTTTCGAGGGAAATATTGTAAATATGAGATAATATAAAATGTTCGGAATAAATTATATCATGTGTAACAAAAAAAAAGAGTTTAGCGTGTAAGAGAAAACGATAAGCAATCTCTATTGATGTTAGGTGCATGTTGATGTCTAACGATTTTTATTATCGGAAACACGTGAAGTTTGTGAATGTAGCAGTGAAATAAGACTCGACATAAATCATGTTTGTCATTATAGCGACCTACTGGTAATCATCTATGAAAAGTAGTTTTGCTTTTATTGTATGTTGAAATTTTGACTCAAAGTTGTTCACATTTTCACTAAAAAAAAATTAATAAATAATCCATTATATTAAATATATCCGTCATTAATTCGTTTCTCATTTCCCGCGATGAGTAGACGATAGACATCTAGGCGTACATACTGTGTCACGAAAATAAACGTATAGGTAAACTAAGATACATACGCGAAACACAAAAATAAAATACAAGAACGCGCATGCCTTATTTACTGCCACTGGGTAAATCTTCGCACGCGAGGGAGAAACGAAATAATGATACTATATATACGTAGAAAGATTGAAAGTTCTCCAAGAGCTGTGGAATTGTATGACAAACTAATCAATCGTGTACATAGAGCCAACGTCAGTTAGCTGTAAGCAAGCAATGACGTTTATTAATTTAACGATAATCTCCCGTTATAAAATAACGCATCTGTATAGGAGGAGTGTTTAATATATCTGTATAAGTTTTATCTTTATTTCTCTAATCTTTCTTATTCTTCCTCTTTTTTTTCTTTTTTAAAAATTTAACATTTATATATATATAATCGATAACCAAAAGATTTCTCAGTAATATTAGCAAAAGAGATACTTTCGATTTCGTCAGCAATAAATTTTGTGAACAAAAGATATATTAATTTAAAATTATATAAGATCGAGAAACACAAAATGTGATCGATCAAAGATATTCTATATGCAAAGTTTTCGTATAGAATTTTGGAATTTTGCGAATGAAAATCTTTCATGCGCAAAATTTTCATATGTATTGCATGATCGAAATTACATTTTTAACTTTGCGCTTATTATGTATACTAATCGTAATATCAATCGACTATAATTGATAATTTATCATACTGCTCTAATACACTTTATAACGTTGCAAAGATGATTGAATGTTGAACACTCCATTTTATTTATGACTCTGATAACGAATTGAAAAGAGAAACGAGAGAAGCAAAGTATATACGCGTAATTGTTGAAATTGTCGGCGGACAATATTCGTAGCTTGTTGACAATACTTGTGTTGACAAATCTTGTTTACAGAAAGAAGATACAGAGAGAGAAGACATTTCTATGTTTTTCGTGTCTATCGCGAAGTTTTTTGATATTGACAAGCTACACGGATTATCGATACCGATATTCTAATCTTTCTCATCTCGTACAATGATATACAATAACGCCTGTATGAAAAGATGGAATTACAATTCGCAAAAGTAACTTTTGATCAATTTCACGATTGTACAAATGTACAATCAAGATCGCGTCAATTTCTACAACTGGCTGCTCACTCGAGTATAATCTGAATTCTGTGATAATCTCGCGAGGACAAAAAGAAAAAGACTGATTAGGAAGACCCCAAAACTTTACTACGATATATATATGTATATCTTTCTCTCTCATCACTTTGCGGAAGAGATAACAAGATTATTGCACGCATAAAAAGAAAGACACAATTTGAGCCTATTGCCTCGCTGCCTTTAAATTTCGCATTTTTTATCACTATCAACATCGTCATTATAGTCGTGTTAAAGTAGAAATATTTGTTGAAAATGTCGAAAGAATAGATTGCACCGAATTGGCGCGATCTTAAAAATCTTTGACACCTGATTAAGCACGTCGCAACATCATTCGATCTGCTTTCCGACTTGATGAGAAAGCGCGTATAATTAAGATCAGTTTCTCACACTCACACAATGCTAAATTATTAATAAATCCCTTCCCTCGTTAGTCTAATAAATGCTGTAAGTACACTGTGTTAATAAATAATTCTGAGTCTGAAATACGGGTGTTTTCTTCTCATCATCACATAATTTTACATTAAGTTTTAAAACTTGCGACTTCAAATGTTCGTCTTTGCTACAAATGGCAAGAATGTATCCTTTGGTGAAGAAAAATTAATTTTGTAATCCAAGAAACAAGCTATTATTCTAGCTATTCAATCTATTATTTAAAAAAAAAACGTTTCAAACATTTTTTCTTAAATTTACATTATAATTAATATTAATAAAAATATAGATTCAGAATATTTTATATAGTTGTAGCACTTATTATATATTTGCTCTTGTACTTTTGAATAACATCAATAATTGATAACAGCAATAATTGTCAAACTTTCCTGTCGACGACACCTCACAGAATCTGATTTTTTTAAATTTCAATCTGTTAATAAATTTTAAAAGTTTGTAAATAATAATACTTTTCAGAAATTATCAATGCCATATATATGTAATATCATATTCGACTTATGCGCGAAAAAAAAGAGTCCACCTGTCAATACTCTGATACACATATGTCGCTATTTCAAATAATGCTTCAAACTGCTATATGTCACCCTCGTATCCTCTGCGATGTAAATATAATATTGTTTAACGGAAATAGTTTCTGTTAATTAATCATTGATATATTTTAATTAAGAAATAAAATAATATATGTTATATGAGAAAGATGTAAATGTAAACAACGATTTAACAGCTGATGAAGTGTCATCGATATGAAACCTTTAATCTAACCTCTAACACGTGACGTACAATTCTATTTTATACAACATCTTTATCTTAATGGATAAAATGAACATCGCAAAAAATAAAATTAAATAGTACAATAAATATTTTGAAATCTCTATTGGACGACTATGGAGAATCAGGTTCATTCGGAATTAATTTTGAAGGAGGAACAGGACGAAGAGGAGATGAAGGAAGGTCGATGTTCCAGCGAAAGCAACAAGAGCATCACACCTGACGCCTCGGCGATTGGAATAAGACCAAAGCCTTTAATCTGTAAGCCCGAAAATGTGAGCATCGGATGTAAATCGGAGCCAATCGAGAGGAAGTGGCAATGGGCCCCGGGAGCATGGCAAGATGCGACCAGGACTAGCGCGTTTCAGCCATATAAGGTATTTTTTTTTGTACTCGGTTAAAGTAGATAGGACATGCATGTGTCAGCTTTAAGTTAAGAGAGAGAGAGAGAGATTCATCTATTATAAAATTATCATGTATACTGTTACAAGAGTAGAATGAAATATTTATACTTTATCTGTTTTATATGTATAGCCACCCACGTTACTCACAAATCTGCAAAGAGGCAATACTCAGACTCAGATACATCAGCTCTATGTTGAGAACGATATCACATTTCATACTTTGGCAGGTCAAGGGGAACTTACACCTGAACATATATGTTCAAGTATATAATCTACAATATCTAATATTTAATTTATAATTTTTGTATTGCACATAGCTATTGAATATATAATAAAATAATTCATCTTTGTATTGCTTAGATTCAGTAGATGCAACTGATGAAAGAGGATTAACAGGATTGATGTGGGCTAGTGCTTATGGACAATTAGGTACTGCTAGGCAATTGCTCAAGTGGAATGCCAAAATAAATCGCTGTGGGCCAAAAGGAGAGACAAGTTTGCATCTGGCAGCTGCTTATGGTCATTACGACGTTGTTAAATTATTATTAAATCATGGTGCTGATGCCAATGCATGTGATGAGGTATATATGTTGTATTTAAAAGAACATGTAAATATTTAAACATGATATTTAAATGTCAATAATTTCTATTTTGACAGGATGGTAATACACCATTAATTTATGGTGCATATTATGATCACCCACGTGTATGTTATGAATTGTTAACAAAAGGTGCAGAAGTAACACATACTAATTTTTCAAATATAAGTGCTTATAAAGCAGCTATTATGAATAATTCAATAAATGGTAAGCAACTTTATTCGCAAACTTTAAAGATATCATGAGTAGTGTACTTATTTTTAATTTATTTTTTGCAGCTAAAGCAGTTATTGAGAATCATCTAATACCACAAATTATAAATATGCCAACAGATGAATTATAACAATATAATTAATGTAATAATATAACTTTTATATATATATATCTTAATATTTATAAATATTTATACAAGTGCAATGTGCATCTTTAGAAATCATAAAGAGCGGTAAGGAATATCTTTATGTAATTGTGAAAAAAATTTTTTATAATCGATAAATATCGTGATTAGAAAAAAATAAATGTGAATGTGAAATATTTACCGAGACAAGATATATGAACTTACGAAAAAATAACAAAATTTGATATATATATATATATATTTGGTAATAATACAATCCTTTTCAGGCGCACTATTGTAATATACTAAAATATATGTATTAAATAAAAAGTAAATATATGACAAATTTTCACGAGTCCAATTTTTTTCTAATAATAATACATTTTCTTTTTTACAAACATTCGGCATTGGACAGTTATTAATGTAATAATAAAATTTGACGCGTGTATATAGATGTACAACATATGCTCATCAATCATCAAGGAATGATTGTATGGCAATAAAATCAAAACAAATAGTAATCAATTTTGATTATTAATTGTAACATTACGCGTCCCATTGAATTATCTCTATTTTCATGTCCTCTTTCATTCTTTTTTATATGCGCAAATATTTTATTTATTCTTTCTGTCTTATACAACTTCATAATTATCAGTAAAGAATACAGATTCTACTGAATACTTTACAGGGCTCTCATCTTCTACAAGCAAAACTTCGCTAACCTGGAAAATAAAAGTAACACAACAATTTTTATATGAATTGTACAATTTTTACATGAATCTCTTGTAACATTGTACAATTTTTACATGAATCTCTTGTAACTTATACAATAAATTCGTGTATTTTATACCTTGATTTTGGCATATGGCGTTTTAGATGTAAACGAGATGTGAAGTGGGAAAAAGTCTGCGGGTGTAGAAGAAGGGGCCGAAAATTCCATCGAACCAGATTTTGTTGAAACATCGATCACCGGTAAAGACCAAACTAACATGTTTCGTCGTGCCTCGTGCGTATATTGTCCGTCGCATTCGCTAACGATAGGATTGCATCCGATAGATAGAGGAATGTTTATCTGGACATCGTTCAATTCAAGATCAGCCTGCTCCAATTCGTATTCGATATTCACATCGCAGCCGCCTTCTCCGTTTTCAGAAGGCCAACAATTTACTATTACAAATAATTAATTAAAAATATATTTTTTACTTTCACAAATTTAAAGAAAAGTTGATTTATGCATATAATTAATGAATCTTACTTGAAATTGGTAATGCTGTTTCATCTTGGGCTTGGAAACGCCATTTCAACACACCAACGTCAGTATTTAGTGGAAATGGTTTTGTGGGTACCTTCAAACCTATTTGTCCATGCGCTCTGAATAATTCCTTATCCACGTTTGGATGAGTTTGTAATTGAATACCTCTCGTATCTCTATTCTCAACTTGCACACGGATACGTCCCCATTTCTCATCAGAGATATGTAAAGTCACCAAACCATGCAATTCGAAATTCTGTAAACCTCCATCCCGACCGACACGTACATTGAGTCTCTCTTCTTGCCTCAAGTGAACCCTTTTTTAATGGAATGTGTTTGTTTAAATTAATTTGTGTAAACGTATGTTTTTCCTTTGGCATAATGCATCAATGAAATTACATACAATTCTGTGTTCATTATTTGAGGAGTTGGCGCCAATTTCGTTCCAGGAGCAGCAAGAGGTCCTGACACAACATTTTCACCCTCCTCCTTCAACTGATCAACAAAGGAATCCACATCGCGCGATTTGCCACCCAATTTCATTGCACCTGGTCCAGCATTAACTGGTTTTCTGATTAAAAGAAATCAGATATTACAGATAATAACAATATTTGTATATACATAATTATATTTTAGTAAAGTAGAACTAATCATACTGTTTAGGTTTATAAGAAGGTCTAATCGGTTCAGGCACAAAATTAGCTGTATCGCCGACAGTTGGAGTGGCTGGAGTGCTACCACTTCCATATCCCCCACCAAATCCAGGACTTTTAATTCCTCCCTTCTTGTTAGCTTCCATCATTCTTTGTCTCTGCAATTCCTTTGCTTTCTCGCGCATTTTATTTTTAGCTTCACGTTCTTGCGTCATTCTGACTGCTTGATAAACCTTTTCCTCATGTGAATCCATTTCTACAAAAGTCCTGATTTGTGCTAAATTAACATTCTCTCTATAGCCTAATGCAACTATCTCATCAAACGCAAATATCAAATTGAATGCATTCTCTGCTATTTCAAGCTCATCCATCGAGTTGCAATATTCTGGAATCTGAAGAATTCAAATCTGTATTATATACGATGCACTTGTATAATAAAAATTTCCTGATGATTGTATTCATATTGGGTTAATCTACTTACCACCCTTGCAAAAAGCCTTAAAGTTTCCAGATCCTCCAGAATATTACTAGCCTTAGTCGTAATAAGCAACATGTATACTTTCTCAAGAGGTTGATATACATATCTGACAGATTCAGTTTCCACAAATGTATGCTGTTTACCCGAGCTCATCAGTTTCGGGAATGCAGCGAGTAGGCCCTCTATTCTCGTCTTCGTCATTTCGACAAACTGTCGAGAGATTATAGCTGGAAAATTAATTGTCGTGTCAAGGATAATTGTCAAAAAATTATATCGACAAATAAATTTAGCGTAACAGAAACTTTGTGTACTCTATTTTCGCTTGTACAATCGACCAGTCTAACTTTGTTTATTTCTCAAAGAGTAAAGAAATGTCACGTATTATCATGTGATTGTCTTAAACTTAGCCCCGGGCGATCTGTTACCGAAACGAGACACGTATATCGCGCGCAGGAGCCTACGTCAAGGATTATCATTACACTTACTCTTTCCAGCTTTGGTGCATACTGCAGCGGCGATGAGTACCTGAAAAAAAAAGAAGAGGAGATATATTCGAGTATACACTCGACTCCGGTGACACTTGTGGGATAATCGCGACTTGGCTAATGGATGACATCTGCGGACGATGTCGGGAGCTCGTGAAGATCCGCCTTTGGCGGCTAGGACACGTTTTCAGCGGCAGATTTTGACGATTTCGTAGGTGAATGATGAGGGACGATTACCTACCATTCTATCGAATTAATTTCCGAAACGTTTCGTACGATTCCTCTCTCACATGGGAGAACCACTATCCACTCTCTTCTCTCTCCACATCACATATACACAAATACATGAACAGAGGGCGCGCTCTGCTGACGTGTGCCATGATGAAAGACGTTCGTCACGAACTATACGAATTCTTGTAGTATGGAAACCATCGGGCGCATTTGTAAGCTAAGTACAGCTTTTTTTTTACAACATCCAATCATATCGTCGATACGCCGCAAGTACAACGAGCGACAACGATTCTGTCCTATGCGGGGCAAGGGGAGCGTACTGGCCAATCAGCCGGCAGCGTGGCAGTGGCTGATTGGCCAGTTCTACGCTCCCCTTGCCCCGCCTAGGACAGAACGAATTTTATTTGTCCAGTTGTACTTTCTTACATTTTCTGTATTCAACGGAGTACAGAAAATACGGAGGGAAGTTTTTATTTGAACCGTGTCGCGTTTATATAAATGTCCAGTGTACGACAAATATGTCAAGTGTATGTCGAATTGCGTTTACATGTGTTAAAGAATCCAAAGTCTGCTGTTTTGAAGATTTCGAAAAAAAACACAAGGAAAAAAGAAGGCAATTTTTTTGGTCTAAAACAAAGGATTTTCGTCGCGGAAAAAGGCTGGAAAACTCGATGGGATTGAAAGCTGGATTTAGTGAGATTTTGGAAAACACGATTCATGTACGTATAAAAATAAAATATTATCCCGACTCTCGTTTTTTTTTTCATCTCTCATCTGCCCCAGTTCATTTTCAGATCGATTAGATTCTTTTTATTGCTTTTTATTAAATCAGTCGATTGCGTGAGGTATTCGCGCGTATATTCTTAATGATTTCAATGTCGTATGCGATATTTGTAATTTTACGATTTATCACATGGACTTTTTTTCGTGATAATTTTGGAACTCGAATATTGCGCGATATGTCATAAATTCGCGAAATAAAAGGTCAATCGATTAATCTCAAAAACACGTTAGCTGTTAAATTGTTTATCGTGCTAATCAAGTTTGAAATATTCAAAGAGAAATCCGCGATGCAGAAATGATTGAAAAATTTCACTCAAAATGCACGAAATCTTTTTAATTTTATATGTTTCAGAAATCTGTAATATCTGCAGTATTTTATTTGTCAGTAACATCTGTTGAAGCACTCGATAGAGGGCGACATTCGGCCAAAATTTTATGCGCAGCCACGACGATATCTTGAAGGGGACAATCTCACGTCATTGAAAGTGTTACAATGTCGTCTGTATATAAAAAATCTCGGAAGAAGTAAGTAAAATATATCATATTCTCTATATACGTGTATGCATGTTATATTTATAATCTCTCGTCTAAAACAAAGTGATTTCTCGCATGATCCACTTCATATCCATAAATAATAAGAACGCTTAAAGCTTGGCAAATTATTTCTTCTTCTCAAATTATATAATTTTATATCGTATTTTTTTAAATTATATTAATTTATATTAATTATATTATACTATTAATTATATTATTATTATCTTGTTATATTATTAGTTATATTATTATTTTCTTTTTTATTATATTATTACAATTCTTCAAAAGCATTGAATCATTTTAAAGATCTTTGATTTCTCTGATTGATTCAAAAAAAGGTATTTAAATAACACAAAATAAACGAATTCGAGTGAAAGCTTACACAATAAAGATTGAAATTTCATTAATTAAAACAAAAGGAGCAAAAGTTTGTTCAACATAATTAATTTAATTTCAATCTGTTTAATTTTAGCGCGTGCCAAGTGCGCCTATGTTCAATTTTTTATGTTTGGTTGGTATCGAAAATCGAGAAAGGCGGCGCTTGCTGCGTGTCAGTGCAACCAACCGAATTTACTATTAGTTCAACCGAAAATTTGAATTCGCGCTATCGTTTTTCCGCGAGTCGAGTTATATCAATCGGTGGATTAATTGTGTTTTATCGGATTAAGTGTGTGTATATATATATATATATAATAAACTCTTGTGTGTATTATGTACATTCGATGTAAAAAGTGCATGACTTAAACTGGAAAAAAACGTGGCACGCGATCGAATCGTAACAGTCTAAGGTTATTATCGTATCGAATTCCGATCGATATGCATCTTTCGCAGAATTTCTCCTGTCGCAGGATCGATCTGGCGCAGTAGGAATCTCAAATCGGCATCGATTGGGACATATTTGTAAGTGAATTTATTTATTTATCGTATTGTGATGTTGCACGATATTGTACGATAGCATTGTGATTGCGTCATCTCTTTTCAAGATCGACGAGGGAAGAAGCGTCTTCGATTTTCGACGGAAGGATCGCGGATCCGCGAATCAACGCCAGTCTCTCGCGCTTGTTACGGCAATTACGATACGGCTCGGAAAACATCCCGCTGGTGTTTCGTCAGGTCGTACACGACCGTGCCCGGCCGTTAATTTAGCGTCGGCCATTATCTCGCGCGTTCGCTGACGTCCCGTCCCGTCCCGGTCCCGTCGCGATGCGACCAGCCGACGCGGAAGATGGACGGCTCGTCGCGCGCGTCGTCATTATTACGTCGCATCTATTCCGCTCGCGTTTCCGCTCGGACGAGCTCCCGCTTCCGCCATTGCCGCCCTTTCGCCGCGGCCCTTACGCTCGACCCCTCTTCCCTCCCTCGCTGCGGACAATTCTTGGCTGCGAGGAACATGCACGCATACACTATCGAGAGACAAGAAATATTACACTTTGTTAGAGGTAATTAAATTTTATTGCAGAGTTCATGAAAATGATTAGAAGAGAAACGATTTTCAAAATTTTTAGTTTTAAAGTAGATTAATTATTTAATTTAAACCTATTTTCTTATATTATATTATATATATAATTTAAAATTTATTTTTTAAATTCAATTTAATATTAATTGTAATGGATTTAAATTTCATTTATAAAGAATAATATATAAATATCTTTTATCAAATTTTTAAATATTTGATCTTTATGACGTTATAAAATTTTAATTCTCTTTATATATGATGTAATAATCTTTTTCATGATTTTAGTATAATATTAATTTTTATTATATTTACTTTCTGTTATTATATATTTAAAATGTTTAATAACAAAAATTTATTAATTTATATTCCAAGATCACTCAATTAAATCAATTTGAATAATTATATTTATATTTATAATTTATTATTTTTTATTATTATTTTGTTAATTAAAATTTTATTTTAATTGATAATATATATATTTAATAATAAATTAGATATAATAATGAATAATAAAATAGATATGCATCTAGAGAGAAGCTGAAAGATCATGAATTTCAAAGTGTCTCGCGCGAATCTTAAATTTTATGATCCAGAAGCAGAGTTTTTCGTGCCATGAATATTACAAAGTTTAATCCATTCATGTTTTTTAAATCTCTTATTTAAATCTAAGATACGGTTTTTTCGATTATTGTTAGTAAGATAATACATACATATAGAAACTTAAGATCAACAATAGTAAAAATGAGATTTGCGTCTTTAAATTATTATTACAATGACCTGGTTATTGAATGAATATTTAAAAAAAATTCATGTATAGTTAATTTAGAAGATAAATATCGAATGAAAAAAGTGAGAAGAAAATGTAGCGCCTCGCGCTGAAATTTGATTTTTATCAAGGTAAATTTCTCTCTACAAGCGATTGTAATTAACTCTTGTAAATCATACTTTTTTGCTCTGCTGCTAGTCACATATGGGTCACAATATCCTGTCGCAATTTTAGTTATCTCAACGTGCTTCAAAAAATCTACAAAAATTTATATATATTTCTTGACATCTGTAAAAAATTATTGTGAACAACAAAAGCTAAAAAATAAATTAAATTTTCTTAATCGATTAAAGCCTTCAGAATATCCTATCGTTAAAATATCGATAATACCAAAATGACCTATATGTGATCTTTAAGGGTTAATTAATGGCACTGCTCCTTTCCTGCGTCAGCATCGCCATTATTATTATAACCGCTGTCAGCAACAGAAGCGAGGCGGTCGACGAGAGGCTTTTAGAGGGAAATTAAGCCCGGGGTAAACGATTAACAAAGAAATTAATGTACGTATCGCACTTACACCGCCATCAAGCTGCCCAAACGATGGGGGGCGAAGAGGCAAGGGGCAGTTAGAGGCGGTGATACGCCGGCTAACCCAATTAGCTGCTGGGCTAATTTGCTCTACGTGCTTAGCACAACGCTCTTTTGCGAACGTAAGCAACGGCCATCTTGATAATACGGGTTGGGGGGATCAACCCCCTTTTTTTTCCAGGCTGTGCAGCGCGTGGATCGTGACAAGCGAATTAAAGGGAAGGATGCGCTGACGTCGATTCGTCGCGGTTTCCCGTCTTGTAAAAGATGACTTCAACGGCGTATTGCCCAGTGACGACGGGATGACACGTCTGTGGAAATGTCTGATTTTAATCAACGTAAATCATCGAATGCAGCAATGGTGCGATGATTGGTGAGTGTGAATTTATGCCACGCATGAATTATTATTTCTTTCTCATCCGCACGCTTTTTTTTAAACGAAACGACCGATTGCCCTTAAACCATTAGTAACTCATATTTTAAATAAATACGTCTTGCTCAATCTTTAAATTTTTATATAACTATATTCTTTAAATTACTGCTTGTTTATTTAGCTTACGTTATCGGCAGAAAATTGATTCTCTGCGTTTTTTTTTATTTTTAAGAGAGGAATTCCTTCGTTCACTCCTCTCACTATTTTTCCATAGGAACCTCAATACGTTATTTCGCACAAAGCTCGGCGATTTGCCGTCACTTCTCTATGTATTGAGTGCATTCGATATTGAATTTTATGAAAATTGTATGAATTTGCATTTTTCGATGCCACGAGAAAAAAGCGTCATTAGCGATGCATTCGATGCGTATAATGCGAAGAATAGAAAAACTGTAATTTGTATTTCATACACGATGAAATTTTCTTTTTTCAAACGCCACGTTTAACACTCTTAACGCGTCAGAAAATATAGAGCGATACGGGCGCTTTATACGGGAAATTTTCGCGTTACGTTATTATAACGAGAGGGAGGGAGAGAGAAAGAGAGAATAAGTCTCGCGTGCGCTCAAAGGGATTACGAACGTCCTTCGCTTCGAAT